AAAAAAAAAAAACAACTTACAAGTCAATACGATTAATATTTTCTTGCACGAAAAGATCTAACTCTCTTTGTGGAATTCGTCTATGTGACTTAAATTTCTTGCAAGCGAACTTAGCCAATTTTCCGGTTAATCCTTCATGATACAGTTCCATGTATCTCCAGGATTTTTTGGCAAACCTTCTAATTGTCACAACATCAACGGAGTCAAGTGCTTGCGGAACAGTTTTTTGTAGGCTAGCCCAAGAGTAGTCGTAGTGATTTCTTGCATAGAACTTGGCTGCACCCCAATACATCTTAATAAAATTGAGTTCGCAGTGAAACTTTGGATAAAAAATGCACGAATGACTAGCGTTTTCTATTAATTCCACAACAGCAGATTTTTGTGCAACAAAATCTGGTTGGGAAGCTATAACCTTTCTTGCACAGCAGTCTACCCGTAAAGGATCATTTCGCGATTCTTTATTCTTACAAAATTTACATTCTAAGCGCAACCCTTCCCTCCAAAGTCCTCTTTCTTGCAATATTATTTTTATCCCCTTCGGCTTTCCCCACATAGTCGGATCCTCATAATCCTTATCAAATACCATACTCTGGGCTTGTTGATTTCCATTAGCATCAACATAAGTTGTTGCTCGCATCACTGGTTGGTTTCCTCCGGGTCCCAAATTCATTCTCGACGCAATTAAAGCATCCTTTGCATATGCTGCATGATTGGTGCTATTGTCAAAAGCAAACACAGCGGTTGCATTTGGGAACTTTGCCTCAAATATGGGGATCGCTTTACTTTGGATTTGATTCAATAAATTGTTCATAGTTCAATAGTTTTCTTGATTTTTATCAGGAATTATATAACAACGTGCCTTTACAGGAATGTTCGGGTGCATCCTTATCTCATCATTAGATAGTTTTAACCGACCACACTTTTCTAAAATAAATTCGCTCACCATTATTGATCTTCCATCTCCCTTTTTTCGTAATGGCATCTTACCATTGGGTACCCAAATTTTTTTCTTCCCATCATTCGAGTAAAATACACATTCATCATGGGTTATAAAAATTAACTCTCTCTCCTCTCTATTTAGAACTGGTGGAATTTTTACCATTACTTCCCCTTCATATGTTGCCATTCTTTGCTCTAATATTCTCATTCTTTCTAAAAAAGTTCTTCTATATGCTACAATGTCTTCTCTTTCGTGACCATCTACATATATTCTCTTTTTGTATTCTCTACATTTATACCCTAAAATGTCCAACCATCTTTCCGCAGTTCGCAAACAAATTTTTTTTTTGTCCCCTACACACTCAAGTAAAATAACATCGTTTACATACTGCATAAAACGAGATGAACTAATACCATTTGCATCTGATTCTTCATGAATCCATTGTCGACATTGCAATGCAACATCCTCATCATCAATCAATCGCCTGCACTTTTGGTGCTTACCACGTTGTGTAATCAGAAATGAACCATGATGTAAATAAAATTCAGCCAAAAACTGAATTCTTTGGGCTGTATATGGTTTGGGAGAGATGCTGGTAATATGTGCAGCTTCTTTACTTGCTTCCATTTTTCCGACACCGCTACCTAACCGTACAAGATACTCATAAGCTGACCATCGCTCATTATATTCACTAACAGTGAACGTTCGTTCATTGTTCATTAGATTCTCTCTAAGTTGTTCGATTCTTTCATCTAACGTAAAAAATGTTTCTTCTATATCAGACTCAGCAAAAGATGCTAAATCTGTAGATGCTGAAAGCTCATAAGAAGGCCAATTTACTTGAGACGACGAAGAGTAAGCTGTGGACTCACTAAAAAATTCACTTGCCCAAGAAGTCATGGGTACTGAAGAGCTTTTATAAAATAAAAATAAAAATATTTAGAAATCTGTATGTTAATTACACAAGAATTAAAAACCTCAACTTACTAACCTTGCAGGTTTAAAAAAATCAGTGATTTTATAGGTCCCTTTGGCAGAACTTGCTAGTGTACCAGAAGCACCAAACTTACGATAATATGTCAATTTCAGTAATCCTCTTATGATCCTTGGGTTTTTCTTTTCGTTTTCTTTTCATGTAAGTGTAGTGATTATTGTTTCTTCATCAACCTCCTTCTCGCTTTCAACTTCATTGCACTCACACTCACTATCGCACTCACTATCGTACTCACTATCGCACTCACTATCACACTCGTTACTATAGTCTAAAACGTCTCTGGCAAGTTCCTCATCAACTTCCTTTTCAGCTTCTTTCTTTCGTCTTTTTTCAGCTTGTTCCTTTTGCTTATTGTTATACTTTTGAAGTATTTTATAACTTTTCCACTTTGGCATTCTTTGATTTGTCTTGTAGCTGGCCCGGGTATGTTTTTACAATTCTTTGGAAAAATATTTCGCTTTTTGGTTTTTTTTTTTTTTTTCTTTTTTTTTTTTTTTTTTTTTTTCATTGTTTCATTTACCCACGCCTCGAATTTATAAGCACCATATACCAATTCTCTTCTCTGAATGATGTGGGGCATGAGAAAATTTTTTTTGACATCTGTTGACTTTCATGTAAAATAGCCTTGTGAGGCATAAAGACATGTTGAAGGCATTGTTCCTCTATTTAACTGATCTTATTCAATCACATGACACAAGTCGACCAATCAAATTCCAAATATGCATAATATTAAAGTTGATTGGTCAATTTAAAGTCACGTTTTTTGTCCCATTTATCTCAAAGCATATGTAAATGGAATGTTTTTGGACCAGTATAAGCCATGAATAAAATTTTTTTTGAAAAAAAAAAGGCCGCTAAGTTGTAGTAAATTGATTTAAGTACAATTTGGCAGCTTTTTTTTTGTTATATTATTTTTGTATTATAAGTTAATAATTTTTAAAAATTAGTAAATTTATTTTAGTCTTTAGGTATCACGAACTGTATCCAGAAAATGAAAACAAGTTGGCACGATTATGTCAAATATTTTTGTAAGTAGTTTAAACAGGAAAGTTAAGAAGACAAGAACTTTGAATACAGAAATAATAGAACTTTCTAACAATGAAGTAGGCAACAAAGAAAACTTGAATCATATCAAAACTTTCAAAATTGAGGTCAAAAAGAAAGACAGCAATCTAAAACAAAAAGATCTTAACACTGTACTCAAAGCTAAAGAATTTTGAAACTATAAAAATTGCAAAGTTTGTGCAAGAAGAAAATATTTTGATTACTTTATCTGATGCACTTTGTCAAGATGTATTAAAACAAACAAAACATGTGACCAATATCAGTCACATAGTAAAACACTAACTAAATCAAACAGATCATATGACCAATGCTGATCTTGAAACAGAACAAACAACTAAACACAAAACAGATCATATTGATATCCAATCAAAGCCAAAAGATACATCTGCAAAACCTAGATAGTAGTCTGATCTTTTTACAAAACTCAAAAGAAGAAAAGCAACCTATTTAACTTATTCTCCCAAAAAACACTTTATACTAAAAA